AGTCACAATTGAATAATGATTTGCAAAAACTATTTATTAAGTACCTGAACAACCCAAAATGTGTCAGTCTCTGCGCCAGGTCCTAGGAGGCTACACAAATAATAAGTGTATAAAGCTGTATTTGAACACTTCCAAAGTCCAAAGATGGTACTGCAAAACGGCTCCCTCATCCAGTTTGTAGTAAAACAAGGTTGTGGATGAGTTTGTACTAAGTTCAGATGATCACAACAAAACTATCAGTGGATCTCTAATTTTGAGCTTTGGAGATGTGGCTAGTCCAAAGTAAAATGTGTGAATGAAACAAAACACAACTCCAAGTCTGTTTTTACCTGGAACAGATCGTGTTCACGTTTTAGATTTTGATGATGTCAACATTTCAGATGGAGGGCGGAGAGGTTTGGGACATTTACTATTTTTGGAAGATATCTCCAAAGAGTGTGAATTTTATTTTCATTTTATTTATTTTTTTTCATTTGTACTTCTGGTCCTGTAGCTTTTATTACAGCCATATGACACAACAGCAGCTGATTGTGAAATAACAGGTTGTACTGAAAAAAAAAAGGATGTATAACACTTCATTAGGGAGGAAAATTATGAGTTTTAATAGCAAAATAAAATTTAAAAAATCCAGGCGAGGACAAATGTACTAAAACTGCCTTTTGGTCTGGAAGAGTTAAAGGTGAATTTTTTTTTTAAGTATTGAAAAAGTACACTTACAATTTCAGCAACTAAAATCCAGAATAAAAACAATTCAAAATTAAAATTCAATCAGTGTTTTTTTTTAAATTCTAAATCTGATGGAACAAATACACGCATCAAGAATCTCAGACTTCCGGTCATTGTGCAATTCATACTGGGAAGGATTGTCTGAAAAAGTGAGCATCAAACCTCCATGTTTGTTTTCCCAGTGGGATGCGTCTATTGTCAAAGTCGATCTTTTCAAGTCTTTTGAATCATATCACTTTTGTTTCTGGTTCTGATATTGTCATATTTTAGTTTTGGGATTCAGACATCGTAATTGTGTGGTTGTTGGATCCTAACAGTGGAAAACAGCTCGAGAAATGTGTTTGCGAACTCCATAAATGCAAAAGGGAATCAGATGTGTGTGACTGCAAACCTCCATTCAAACTGTTTCCCTTCCCAACGGAACTGAAAAATAGTGAAAGGTGAAGGCGATGGGCAGGATTGATCCACAGGAAGGATGAAAAAGGAAACATTTGACTGCCTAAATCATCCCGAGTTTGCAGAGAACATTTTGTATGTGGAGCGCCATCAAAGCGGGATCCCGTTTGTTAAGCGAGAGGTGCAGAAGACAAACAGACTGAGCTCGAACTTTCTTGTTCGTGTGGTTTTACAGCAACATTAAGTCTTGGTCTCTTTGCAGTGGAAGGTGTTTCTTGGTGAACAGCTGGTGCCTTTTGCTTTGGCTTTGATTTTTTAAATTCGTAACCAAGGTTGAGTGAGGGATCGGGATTTTACTTTGTTGTCGCTCCACATACAAAATGTTCACTGCAAACTCAGGATGATTTAGGCAGTCAAATGTTCTATTTTTCATCCTTCCTGTGGATCAATCCTGCCCATCGCCTTCACCTTTCACTATTTTTCAATTCCGTTGGGAAGGGGAACAATTTGAACAGAGGTTTGCAGTCACACACATCTGATTCCCTTTTGCATCTATGGAGTTCGCAAACACATTTCTCTAGCCGTTTTCCACTGTTAGGATCCAACAACCACACAATTACGATGTCCGAATCCCAAAACTAAAATATGACAATATCAGAACCAGAAACAAATGTGATATGGTTCAAAAGACTTGAAAAGATCGAGTTTGACAATAAACGCATCCCACTGGGAAAACAAACATGGAGGTTTGATGCTCACTTTTTCGGAAAATCCTTCCCAGTATGAATTGAGCGATGACCGGAAGTCCGAGATTCTTGATGCGTCTATTCTCTTCCATAAATATGAACCATAAACTGTAGGAATTCTACAATGTGCAAATGTCACGTGAGTAAAAGTCACATGAAGTCTTAAATGGTGTGATCTACTTGTAGTACTTGGTTTAATGTCCAGCAGGGGGCACAGTCGACTTTTCATTTTGCTGCACATTTTGGATTCCTCCTCTCTTCCTCCCATCTCTTCTCTCCTTCTCCTCTCCTCCTCTCCGTCCTCTCCCCTGTTTTGATTTCCTCAGAAACAATGGCTGCTTCTCTGCCTGGAATGAATGATCACGGTAAAAGTCATTCGTCCCTGATTTTGGTGCACATTGTTGCCAGCAGAGGGCGCATGGACTGGACTGAGGTGCTTTTGATCACTTGGAAGAAACAAACCAGAGTCCAAAATGTTTATGTGAACTGCAAATAAATGTGAGTAATAACCCCTGTTGGACAAGTTACTTCAATACTGCCATGTGTAATTTCAAAGTAATTCGTTACATCACAATATTACTGCTACTACTACTACTACTACTGCAGTACTTTTAAGTTACTCTCACCTCAAAATAAATGTGCCAAGATGCAGAACTTTTGTGCTGTATATGGACTGAACCAGTTCTAAACCAGGTCTAAACCAGGACTGAACCAGGACTAAACCAGGACTGAACCAGGACTAAACCAGGACTAAACCAGGACTAGGACTAAACTAGGTCGAAACTAGGACTAAACCAGGACTGAACCAGGTCAAAACCAGAACTGAACCAGGACTAAGCTAGGACTAAACCAGGAACTGAACTAGGACTAAACCAGAGCTGAACCAGAACTGAACCACGACTAAACCAGGACTGAATCAGGACTAAACCAGGTCTAAACCAGGACTGAACCAGGACTAAGCTAGGACTAAACCAGGACTGAACTAGGATTAAACCAGAGCTGAACCAGAACTAAACCACGACTAAACCAGGGCTAAACCAGGTCTAAATCAAAAATGAACAAGGACTGAACCAGGACTAAACCATGTCTAAACCAGAACTGAACCAGTACTACACCAGGTCTAAACCAGGACTAATCTTGGACTAGGACTTGGAATCTAGGAGCGCCCCTGAGAGAACCTCAAGCTCGTGGATGTCCGCAAAGTATGATCGGGCTTCAGCTGCGTTTAGCCCCGTAGAGCGTGGAGTTCTGCTTTGGTCCTTTCGCCCGCGGTCACCTGACAGTCTACACGGGCGCACCTGTCCTTGCATTCGGAACCGTAATGATGCCGTTTCACCGCTGCTGATATCGCGGTGATGGTAGCGAATTTGTCTTGCACCAGCCTAGCCTCTTATGATACATTGGAGCACAAAGTATAACAGGCTTTCACATTAATATTATTCATGTCGGAAAAGCAGAATGTTTGAAAAATGAAAACAAAAACGTGGAAGTAGTATGACACTTAACAAATAACGTTTATGCTGCTACTCAGACAATTAGACGTCAGTGTCAGAATAGCAGACAGTAACTGAAATGAAGAGGATTGTGGGGGATTGCAGCTCCACAGAGGTCTGGCTCACTGTGCTGTGGTATCCTTTAGCTGTGAGGAGAGGGTAGAGCTTCTATGTAGAGAGATGACTGGACAAGAGAACATACCCAAAACCAAAAACAAGGCAAAAGGCAGATATAAACATGAAATGATCTCACCAAACATTCACTTGGTCTTGTGATATACGTCTGTACTTCCTGTACACTGACTGTATATACTGAGCTCGCATGCGCCACAAAACAAAGTGACAAAGCTGTTTCCTGTTCTAATACGCAGTACGCAGATACACCCCTGCATTACAGAAAGATCGACTTTATCATTAAAAGTACCATTCAGATAGTGTTTAGATCGTTGCATTAAGAAAACATAATAACGTAATATTTGGATGACGTCAGTGTCTCATGGAGCAGAGCCCTGATTCTGGAGTAGTCAAAATCGCACTAATCTAGACCAAGACCTGTCCGAGACCACAGGGTCCTGAGACCAAGACAAGACTAAGACCTCTGGCGGCCAAGACCGAGACTTTTAAAAGCCGAGACCAAGAGAAAATCGAGACCACAGCCCATCGAGACCAAATCAAGACCATCTTTGTCATTTTCTACATTTATTTGTATTCTAGAGTTATTTTGGCACAGATATATCAATGTTTTTATAAAGTGATAAGCCAGAGTCCAAGCTCCTTCAAGAACGAGACAAGACCAAGCCCATCGCCTTTAAGACTGAGTCCAAACGTCTTGAAGACTGAGACAAGACCGAGTCCAAGCCCCTTGAAGACCAAGTCCAAGCACCTTCAAGACCAAGTCCGAGCACTGTTATGACCGAGACAAGACCGAGTCCCAGCACATTCAAGACCGAGACAAGACCGAGTCCGAGCGCATTCAAGACCAAGACAAGACCGAGTCCGAGCACCGTCACCACTGAGACAAGACCGAGTCCGAGTGCATTCAAGACCAAGAAAAGACCGAGCCCAAGTGTCTTTGAGACAAGACAGAGTCTGAACGCCTTCAAGACTGAGACAAAACTGAGTCTGAGCACCTTCAAGACCAAGACAAGAACGAGTCCAAACGCCTTCAAGACCAAGACAAGACTGAATCCAAACACCTTCAAGACCGACTCCGAGCGCCTTCTAGACCAAGACAAGACCGAATCAAAACGCAGTCGAGTCTGAGTCCTAAGGGAACTGTGAAAGTGAAAAAGAGGATCATGTTTTTATACTTTTATCAGTGCAATGCAGATATCCAAAATGAAAACAATGTTAAATTGGGAATCAAATAATCTCAAGTATCGTCCACCCAAACACTCCTGACTTCCCTCTGACCCTTTGCTCACAACTCCACCATAACACCACCCGCCATTTTGTCCCCCGTATCACCTCTTTCCGACATAAACAGCTTTCCTCCCCGTTTGTCCCCGTGTCCTGCTCAAACCCTGACGCAGCTTTTCCAAAATGGCGTCAGTTTCCTCTGTTTTAGAACAATGCAGAGGAAGTACAGAGGAAGAGGGCTGGAGCGCTCCACTTTCACAGAGAGCGCCCGGACTGTCACCGAGTTTGGACATTTGAAAACAGACGATTCCAATGAACGAGCGGTGAAACATGGATCGATGGAAGGTAGGAGCGGTTTGGAGCTGTGTTGGTTTGGGAAAAATCGGCTGGAAAATGATCTAAAGGTCACAGGAGAGGTCAAAGCTGATCCGAAGTCAGTTTGTAGTTTTAAATTCTCTCCTAAACAGGTCACGTTTATGGAATTTGTTGATGTTGTAACTTCAGATGGAGACCGGAGAGAGAGACGGTAGATTCACTGTTTTTGAGAAAATCCGAAACGTCTACTTTACTCTTAAAAAAGTAGTTTTATTGCAGTACACGTAGTTGTTTTGAAGTACAATTTTTGCAACTTCAACTGCAAGGATTCATCACAAACAGACCTGGAATTGTTTCATTTTTTGTTTCATTCGCACACGTTTAACACACAAACCCTGCACATTTAGACTGAAACTCAAACTGAAAACACTCTGTTCCACCTTGTGATGTCATGCGGTGTTACAGTATCACTCCATAAACCTTCACTAGAATCGTTTGGATAATGTCAACCTTGGAATTGACAATCTTTACTAAAGGGAATTAAAAGTAAAAGGAGCTTGAAACTAACTTGAAAACATCACGAGGTGGAAACGAGTATTTTTGAGCTTTGGAGACGTACAGACTCAAAATAAAGAGTGTGAATGAAAGAAAACACAACTCCAGGTCTGTTTTTGAGGAAGTAACAACATTATAACTTGGATTAACGTCCACATGAGTCAATTTGTGTATGACCGTTAAGTGTAAAAATATATTGGCTTCAGTAGACTCGTTGGACTTGTGATTGTGAGTTTGGTCTGGACGTTGCTGGTTCTAGTCTCAGGTCTCATGGCTCCTTATGGAAAACGTTTTTAACGGTTAAATGAGCAAAATTTATTCAGTTATATGTTGGGTTTTATTGCACTTTCTGTTTGGAAAAGAAGAAGAATAGAGTTTGTGGTTCTGACGCGTAAGAATCCAAAAGTCCAAAAGTGTTGCTATAGTAAAAAAAGTGAAATATGACCTTGATCCAAATGCCCTTCGCACATTCTACTGTTCATTGGTTCTCAGTTATTTCACATACTGTGTTGAAGTGTAGGGGGAACACTCACCAATGTGCACTTCATCCCTTGATTATATTACAGAAATGAACTTTGCGAATGATTCATAAAGTTTGATTTTTAGAACACAGCCATAATCTTTTTATTCAGTCCAAGCACCTAATGATTCCTGACCTTGTAAAATATAAACACTGGTAATTTTATTTAGAGTATTCAACAATTTACTACCAAGTAATCTTCAAAGCTTGTTCAAAATGAGAGAGAGAACTCATCATTTTAGAGGGTACGGAAATTTCAAATTGCCCATTGTTCGAACTACCTGTAAAAGTTTCTGTGTATCTTTGGCTACGTTTATATGATGGCGGTCTGAACAGAAGGCGCAAAAGTGGCATCGCATCTTCTCTTTTTGTTCTGTGTTTAGATGAGCGTTTTGGGGAGGAAGTGTACATGCATACGGTGACGCAAAAGTGTGTGGAATTTGATTGAGTATGTTTGTACTTAAAGCATTAAGGGCGTCTTTGGACATACGGAAGTTTTCACGCCACGCATTTTCATCAGCTACTCCTTCCACAAAGTTGTCCCACCATCGACTGGTTCTCCAGGTCTCGTCCATATCCGTCTGACAAACTGGTGCATCCAGAATTTGACAGAGGTGATTGCAGATCCTCCTCTGTTCACTAATAGTATCTCTGCAGATTCTGTACATTTGTTGTTTTGCCTCCTGTAAGTTTATTAGAGCTGCCAGAGCAACTTGAAGGAAATTATCTGACATGTTTGTTTCTGTGTACTGTATGTTTGTCACGTAAACACGTACGCGACGTAAGCAGATCTGGGCAGTCTAGGCGGAAACGGTACTGCAGAGCGTATTCAGCTTTTCCACTCTGGAGGATGGTTTCAGATTTTTGCATTTTTAAAGCTCCAAAAAACGCCGTCTCCCTCTAAATGAAAGACACTTCCGATAAAATATTGTGTTGTTTTTACCTGCAAGTGTTCTCATGTAAACAGGCCGTATATGTGGTGTAAAACTCTGGAACAGCCTGGGTACACGTCTCAAGAAACGCCAAAATAACCATAAATTCAAGTTGTTACACAACTTATACAAACATAAGGTCTGGTCACAGTTTATAGAGAGTGGGTCTTAATATTAGAACAATACTTCCTTCTGTAGAGCTGCTTTATGCTTGTTGTTGTTTTTTTTTTTTACCATTACTGTTACCACATCTGCAGTTTGTTATCATTGTTGGTGCCTTTAACCTTACCATTGTTGATATGTTTATGTATTATTGCAATATCATGAAAGTCATGTTACCAAGCATAACAGTGACTCTTTGTGCACACTTGTAAGTGTTTCATAAAGATTAGTGTATTTTTCGGATTATAAATCACTCCAGAGTCACTCCAGCCAAAAAATGTGTAATTTTTTCGGTGGCTGAGTGGCTACCACTCATGTCTCACAGCAAGAAGGTTCTGGGTTCGATCCCCGGGTCCCTCGGGCCTTTCTGTGTGCAGTTTGCATGTTTTCACCCCGTGTCTGGATGGGTTTCCTCCGGGTGCTCCAGTTTCCACCATCAACCCAAAACATGCTCCAGGTCAGAACAGTTGATAGTGAAGGTCAGTTAAATGCAATCAATTCAATCATTGTGTCCTTAGGCAAGACACTTCACCCACATTGCCTAGTATGAAAGTGGTGTGTGTGAGTGATGGTGGTGGTCGGAGGGACCGATGGTGCCAATTGGCATGGCAGCCGCGCTTCTGTCAGTCTGCCCCAGGGCAGCTGTGGCTACAATAGTAGTTTACCATCACCAGGTTTAGAGTGAATGAATAATGCTGAATAATGCTCTGTAAAGCGACTTTGGGGACAGAAAATGTCTGTGAAAAGCACTATATAAATAAAGACTTACTTACTTACTTAATGAAGAAAAAAAAAACATATATAATCACTCCAGACTATACGTCGCACTTATTGGGGGAAATTTATTTTATAAAGTCAGAGCCCAGGAACCAACATTTCCTGTTGAAAGTCAAGTTGTAGTAATAACAACAGAAGAGAGAACAACAGACTGTTAACGTCACATATGAACAGTTCTTCAGATAAAATATAACATAAACAACAGAACAGAACAAGTTTACCAAACTCTCCATCTCACTCCAAATCACTAAATCCATTCAGTTCTTCATCCTCGGTGTCATTTCTGAACAACTCCTCGACCACCGGAGGTAAACAGAGCGCCACTTCCTCTTCTGTGTCGCTGTCGTCAGATTCAGCATCAGTTCCAGTTAGAATTATTCGGGCCTTTCTGAATCCCGACAGGATGGTTTCAGTGTCACTGAAGTCCAGACTTTGTCCATCCATCCAGTGACTTCAGGAAAGTTTCATGGTGCTTCCTCCCGGTGTCACAAGTTTCTCGCTGACTCCAAACTTTCTTTCTGCTGCTCGATTACCGTTTTTGGCTGCAGATTTCACGACTTGTAGCAGGACAGCAAGTAGTGACTTATACTCCTGCAGCGTATAAGTCACAGGACAACCCAAACCATGAAAAAAAGTGCGATTTATCATCCAAAAAATATAACGTAAAATGTCTAAAAAATGAAAAAGAAAGCTCATTGTGTTAGATTAGAAGAGTGGGGGTGGGATTAAATACGTTTTTTTTCCTCCCACTCTTTTTTGGGCCAATTTTTTGTTATGGTTATTTTTATTATGATTTCACTAATGCTATATGTTCCACTGTAAAATAATATAAATCTCTTAATTGCCCCAAATACATGAATAATAAAATAATCATCTTTACCTAAACCTCAGCACGTGCACCAGAGACTCAGTGCTAGTGCAGCCTCTGGAGTCCTGTCCAGAAACTGAGAGTGAGACAAACTTGGACGTGTCTCTGTCTGCAGGTGAAGACTCTGGAGACACAGGGTCAGTCTTTTGTTAAAGCTGTAGTTCATTTATAGGACGTGTTTCCTGTTGAAATCTGGCAAAGTTTAAGACGATACAGAGACGCTGAGCAAAGTGAGTCATCGAAAAGCGGTTGTAAAAATTTGTCTTTGACCCTGAGCACCTGAGACTCAGTCATAATAAAACCTCAGACAGATGCACTCTCTCTCCCCTACTGACACACACACACACACATACACATACATGCACACACAATCAATAGCATTTGTGTCCTGATTTTCCTATTAACACAACAGTTGTTTGAAAATTAAATTTAAGGTAGAAATGATATAGATTTAACAAAACACACATGCGCTTTACTGTTCAGTGAATTTGCCCAAATTTGGTCAATGACAGTTTCTTTCCCACTGAATCGAGTCCTGCAGTTTTCAAAGAGTGCGCACTTCCTCTCTGACATTACAATAGTCACACTGCAAAAAAGAACATTTAATTAAAGACAGGGATTTGACTTCTCTGGGGTAACAGTACACAAAAATCACAGTTCAGTACGCACTTCGGTTTTGAGGTCACGGTTCGGTTCATTTTCGGTACAGAAATGCAAAACCATTTTCTTGTTGTTTATGTGTGTGTTTATTAAACCAACAATTTGTTTCAACATTATAAAAAAAATAGAAAATAAAATAAAGGCAAAGTGCTGCTTGGTAATATTAATGAGTTAAATCAAATATTCTCAAATAAGCAACACGTTTGAAATATTATCAAAAAGAATAAATTCCTTGTAAACAGTAAACAAAACTTTTCAAAAAATAAAGTGCAGCACTAACTTTTACTCAATCTTCAGATTTTTGGCCATCAAACAACAACAATTGGCAGTTACAATGTCCTTAGTGGTTGAAAATACACTTTCACTAGGGACAGAGGTCGGGGGTATGTAGGGAGCAGTGATTCCGTACTGGCGAAAGACGAAAGTCAGGACCGTGGCGCGACAACTGTAGTTTTGTGAGGATTCACGTAGTAAAGGTGGGGGGCAATTGTTGTCAAGGTGGCCGTCCTAACTATAAAGCGCTGCGGGAAACACTGCCCCAATCACTGACATGTTC